TTTTGTAAACATAATACGTTGGCTAAAAAAAAATAATAAATGAATAAAGTTGACAATTCGTTCGATTTCTAATAGATAATCAGGCGATCGATTGGACAATCAGACTCAAATATACACGTCCTCGCGTTTAATTTACTTAATCTGTCTGTGACGATTCAACTATTAACCAGAATTTCTCTGAACGGTGGCAGCGAAAACACAAAGGGCGCCAGATCAATGCTTAAGTTAAGAATTTATCACAAACAGTAGTCATGACTTTGAATTACAACGCATTATTCGGAGATATCAACAGAAATATCGTCAACGTGAAAAAGTGCTTTTGTCGCAGATTCACGGTTTTGGTTTTTTTCGGTATCGAAAAATTCGCGGACTAGTTTATGAGACGGATGTAATATCGTCTGCGATCATAGTTGTTTTTTCGATAATACACAGCGAGATGCGAATACGCATAAATTTATATAATCTGTGTCGAAGTAAAATGTGGCATAATCCGTAGTTTTGGTACTTAAAATTGTCTACTTAGTGTTAACGTGTACATACTTGAACATTTCATTGAAAATTGGCTGATAATTGATAAAGTCAGTTGTAAAAGTAATTACGATGCTGTGTCGTCTGCGTTACAGTTTATATTCAGATTGTAACGCAGAATTATCTTAATAGTTGAAACTAAAGTTATCAATACGGCTTGTCAATAACGTTGACTAATTAATCATTGTGCTAATAGGCAAAGATCTTTCGCGAAATAAAGATCAGCTGATAGATACGAGGCTGAGTAAAGCCTATTGTTTTGCGAGCCGGCACGTCGCGTGGAGTATAGATCAAAGAGATCGTTACAGAGACTGCCAGCCGACTGCCAGCATGTCTAACGTGGGTAGTTAGTTGTACGATTCATCGGCCACGCTGCACCGTCTTTGCAATTAACGCGAAATCGTTTTATCGTCGAATCTATCGTAAAAATCAATTTAAGATGATTTCAATCGTGTTGATGAAAATTATTGAGAATTAACGAGAACGGAAGTAAAACGATGCGAAAACGATGCGTTACAATTTCGAAAAAACACGACATCTTAGCGTTTAAGTTGTCCCCACCTTGTGCCTTGTACGTCGGTTTGATAAAGACGTGCATGTGCCGAAAGTGAGTCATCGAATTGTTGAAAAGTAAGTGCATAGAGGCCATTGGCACGTCGTTAATGATTTGCTCGTCAAGCTCGTTTGCGATAAAAACCTTCCTCTTACTAGTTTTCGTGGGATTGAGACGTATAAAAATTGATACGCAGATCGTCGACACGGGAGGATAACAGATAAACTTCCCGATTACATTATCATCACGATAAGATCGTTTTTCCTGGATGTGGGTATCGGCATGTACGAGAGACAAAATCGATGACTGTGAAAACTGCATACGTCGCGTCAACGTGTTTTTGCAGCGAAGAAGCATGATTATATTTTTGATAAGGTCAGAGACGGACAACGTTTTAGCGGATAACATTGCACCGGAATTTAACTTGGATGAATTAATCGACGTCGCAAAACGCGTAGGTTCATTCTCCGGCCCACGTCTTGGCCCACGTGCATGTTCCATCGTACTTTTAATTCAACCGCTTCCAACCGTTAATTACCCGACATTATGTTCGTTCGAACGAAATCACGATCGTTCGATAATATTATATAGGAGATCGTCAAACTTTTCATCTCTGCCCGTCATCATATTCGATTTACAATTCGTAGATATTTGACATGGAAGTAGAATTATTTTTATAACAATGATGATTATACTTACACTTGCACGCGTATATCATTTAATGTGAGCTATATAATCGAACAAATGTCTAAAACCATTCTGAAGATTACGAACTTGCCGACTCAGTGTGTTTCATGAATTCAACTAACATTGCGGTGCAATATTCGTCTCGCGATAAATTAGCGTTTTATGTTCTTGGTCTTTGCAAAAAATGTGTTAATCACTATGCTTTGAAGAGTGAAATCAGGATTAAAATATTATCGTGCACACGACTCTCCACTTTGACAAAAATTTTCTTAATCTGTCCTGATCGTATTTTTGTTGCACAAATATTAATTCAACAAATAAGCGTGCAAGCATCGCGTACTCGACTCGATTGCATCACAATGCGTGTGTGCACCATTCTCCAGTGATTCGTTATTCTTGCTTGGTGATAAACATAAAGCGTTTCGAGACACGACACGATTCGTCCGACTTATCGTCCGACTTTCCCTCTTTTCGTTCCAACAGGTGTCTCTGACACACTTGCAACAAATTGTTTTCGACGCTTATTGCCTCTATCAAATTTAAGGCGAACTTGAATAAATACGTGATAACGCTGACGTTCCGAAAGTGCGACGTCGATTGTCGCGTGATCAAACTCAGGGAAATTTCCCGCCACACAACGTGATTCCCGATTTTCCGTTCTTGTTTCATCGTTCGTGATTACTGTCTCTAGGAAAATTCGTTACCTAACGTGTATTCGTTACCGAGTATTGTGGTTTATCCATGCTCATGGCTATCAACTATAAAGTCTCATCGTTGACATTCTTGACTCTAAAGTACGTATGGTAGAGTTGGATCAACATGAAACTATGAGAATACGATAGCCTGGTCTTTCGTAATGATATGCAATTACACGTGTAATTACAGTTCATTTATAAAAAATCTATTTTGCATCGTCGAACCGGTAGTTGCAATGACTCGAAATTGGCCCTCTATTGGCCGACACGACGTCACGATGCGATGGTGAACGCGATACCTTCGGTCAAGAAACGACGCGCACGTGTCATTTGAAGTCATGAATGAATGCGCTGCAGAAAATACAAGCGCGAGATTCGCCTCGGTACGTGTAATCTGTAGCTATTTTTAAGTAGGACGTAGACGATTATCAACGATCCTCGAGAGATAACGATGTTCGCTTATCGATACGGTTGTGAATGCTCCCCACGAACTGCGTAACTAATTATGAGCGAAACAAAGACATCCTAAGAGAAATACGATTTAACTAACAGAAAGGAAAAGGCGATTGAATTTGTATTGATCATCGTGCACTTATCATCTTCGTGCGACTGTCATTGTTCTTGATACGTGTATCTTTTCCAAGTTATCCAAGATCAATATCGATCGAACGTGTCGTGTGGCAGACGTTCATAAATCAAAACAGTGTTAATCGAAAATCACGCAGATTTATTATTATTATTATTATTATTATTATTATTATTATTATTATTAT